TAATGTTCGGCAAGGTACAAGTTTCCAGTGCTCTGTCTCAGTGACCTTGATAACAAGTAGTAAGTCAAGTCAAGTAGTAAAATATTTATTAAAAAACACATATTTGTGAAACAATAATCTTATGCTTCAACGAATACAAACTCTAAAAAAAATTAAACGTCGTATTCACGTGAAGATACAATTTCATTCAGTTTCATTCATACATTTGATACATATACTCACGAAAATAATTCATTCTGTCATTCATCTTAACACAACAGTCACACTGAAGTTTCACTTCAAACCATTCGCCACCCCAGCCGAGGACAAAACTGAGACTCACGTGCGTATTTTAATAGTTTTGTCTCTGACAGAACGGTGAAATGTGTTAGTAAATGATTTATCAAAAACGAAATTGCGTTACTTGTTTTAAAAAGCAGCACTATTAAAGGTCATCATTATATATTTTATAAAGAAAATAACTTAAAATGTGAAAAAAATATTTGAAGCTTTATTTTCACGTTGTCAAAAAAAATGTAACGATTTGTATTGTGACGACGAGAAATCCGTACCAATTCCCTAAAACCAAACAATGTTCCATCATCAATAATTTGGGGACATAGCGGTGCCCTTGTTTGTGTTTGATACGTTTATAGCAAAGGGTATTATTTGATTGGAAAGTCCTATTACTCTAATACGTTTGAACAAGCCTCAATTATCGCTCCTCTCAATCAAACGATATAATGACACCTTTCAACACGAGTCAAGTACCATGACGCAGATCCTGATAAGTGAAACAGAGCACTGTATCGTATCAAATGTGGGTGACTGAGGATATACATCTCGATCTTCAATGCATGTTATAAAATCTCAATCTGAAGTAGTGGTATTCACCCGGTCCTTAACCACTTATGTCCAAAACGAAATAAAACCAACTTAATGAAATGACTCTAAAAGACATCTCAGAATTCGGAAAGCTTAGAAAGAAGAACATAGAAGGAAGATCGCTGATAGTCCGGTTTCGTCTTTTCATAATGAGTAGATTAATATATCAAGCATTCGGACGACCAAGTTTGCGTGTAGCACAATGCTATGCTTTCCAGAATCGAATCTTGTTAAGAATTCTTCAACGAGGGTGAAGTTCTGTTCTTTTAAATTATCACGAAAGCGAGATGCCATCGATCCCACCACAACTTCATTATCATACTCTTTCCACAATGAAAAACGAAACTCTTGTGGACATTACACTTACATCAGAGCAGTGCGCGTTAATGGGTGATCTTAGAATCTGTAGAATTAGATACTTTTTAAGTAGTATTAATAAGATTCAACATTCCGTATAAAAAAGGGAACGTAGTGAAAATCTATTAATGGAAGTAGTAGTGTGAAATATCAGTTTGACAAGAACACAGCAACGCAGACTGAAATCAACTAGCATAGAGACTTTGAATAAGAAATAATTTGAATGAAATAAACATATAAATTATTTCTAAAAAATACAAAAAAATAAAATAAAAAGATTTCTTTAGGCAGCCACTAGTAAAAGCGAATATTTTTAGGCCATGCAGGGCGTGCTAAACGGTCCGTTTTTAGCACTACTGCTAAACGATGCTCAAATAAAACTGTGATAGCAATAAAGAAAACAATACTTGCGCCTGATCAGCTACTACAACTGATCTTCATGACATTCGGTTATTTTAATCGTGGACTTGAAACAAAAGAAACGTCCATAAGGCTGTCTAAAAATAGTGTAAGATTTTCAATAGATGTTCAATTGCACCACGACCCACCGGCCGCGTGTCGCAACCTTTCCTCCTAGCAAAATGACACTGTTACCTCTCGTATAACTATTTTACTGAATTTTTAACTCTCTCTCTCTCTCNNNNCCCTCTCCTTCTCTCTCTCTCCTTCTCTCTCTCCTTCTCTCTCTCTCCTTCTCTCTCTCTTTCTCCTTCTCTCTCTCTCTTTCTCCTCTCTCTCTCCTTCTCTCTCTCTTTCTCCTTCTCTCTCTCTTTCTCCTTCTCTCTCTTTCACCTTCTCTCTCTCTTTCTCCTTCTCTCTCTTTCTCCTTCTCTCTCTTTCTCCTTGTCTCTCTCTCCTCTCTCTCTCTCCTTCTCTCTCTCTCATATATATATATATATATAAACTTAAAACTTCAAAACATTCGTTGAAAAATATAAATCACAAAATGTTATCTACTTTCTTCTTTAAAGTAGTTTTAAATTGTCTTGAATATGCATTTCTGCAATTGCTATGAATTTACTAAAGCCGCCAAAAAGCCCTTTCTAGCTCATCCTTTTATTAATTAACATATGACAATGTTATTTAACTGAAATCTGCTCCCCATTCCTTGCATAAATATTGGCCCTGTCTATGCGTCGAATTCATATCCTTTCGCAACTCCTGTACATTTGTTCTCATATTACATTACGTAAACCAAGATTAAGTGACTGATTGGTGTTTCTAGGCGCGTCAACTACTGTTATTAGTAGCGTAAGTGTAATGCATGTTTATCCCTGAATGTGGTGGACTCTTTCGCTGCCGAAACCTTAGAAACGGGGTCAAAATAGGCATCGGCTTGCGACGTTGCCTGTAAGCAGGCATTTTCCCCCCAGCTCGTCCGCAACTGAAAAGATTTTTTTCCCCGCAGTCTGTGAATGTTTATAAGTACTGAAGTAAAGATTAGAAAAGCTTTTGCACGCGTGAATCACTAAAACTTCAATTTGATTGATTTTTTTCGGGGAACATCGTCTGTCATGGTCTTTAATTCCGCACGTTTGTGCAGTTTATACCCCGAAAGGTGGCGCTGTTCCTGCCCCACTGGAACGAGATACTCGGCAACGACCCACACAAGTCGGCTTGTGAAATTTTCTACCCCGCCGGGACAAATTCTAGACGAGACTCCCATCACGTGTGGCAATGTAAATGTAAGTGTAAGTGTGTGTGAAACGGGGGATCGACCGTGTTCGGTTGCCCATTTGTTAGGATATTGCTCTGTCATTCTTCAAGAACTGATCCGAGAAATCAATGAAAACTACCGATCGGAGTACCCGATAAAATTCTCATACAGGTATTGGTTGCATTCGCCCCAACTCTTTAGGCTGTGTCGAAAATCCACCACCGTCGGGTTTCAAACACTAGGACCTCCCGGGCAGAGACCGGGCCCTTTCATGTCTTTTAAGAATGGTAAGTATCTCATTTTCATAAGGTTTCAAGATTTTTTACTCTCGCTTCTCAACTAGCTACACCACCAGGTTAAACATAAATTGACACTCTGGCGGTCCCAAATAAGACACTATCTCAACACCCAATGTTTCGAAAGAGATCTCTTCATAATTTTTATATTTGCATTAATTCAGTATCATCGCTTAGCAATGATTTTGAAATGAGTATTTAAATTTTTCGATAATCAATCTATGTTTCCTTATCTCTCAAATGAAATAGAAACATTCCAGACTTGGATATACCTTACACCCCTCAAATCTGAGTAACAATGACACTACTTGGGTCCATCGTTTAATCCCAGGCGGAATGTCCAGAAATAGTACTTCACATCTGAACGTTGTTGCACGGATAATATTGAAATGTATGTACGTTATACAGACGGAAATTGTTCTTTTATTTTAGTCACGCGTTTACCGAATTCAGTGATTTATTTTGAATGCATATTAGAATGCGCAAAAAACTCACTATACATGCAACTATCTCACTATACATTCAATCTAAACGTTCAATACTCAGAATTTTTGTGTTCAATAACATAATAATCCATCATTGCAAATACAGAACCAAACCTAGCTAATTTTACCTAAACATTATTTATTCTAAAAAAATAAATGCTATTTTCCCGGTGATTTATTCAAAATGAATTAGGCAAAAGTCTCTCGAAAACAAATACAAATTACCCATACAGTTTTAAGCTTTACAATAAGAATATGCTTAATTCAAAGTTAATGTCTGTTAAATACTGTACAAAAATAACACGCCATTCAAATTAAAAAGATTGGAAATGGAGTGGATGCAATAATGAAACTTTCCATAAATAAAATAATACTATACAAATACACAAAACTCCTTTTTTCATATCTGATATCTCAGAAAACACTCTACACCTTGCTTCATCTTGAGATTTATTATAATAACCAAATCCTAGAAATCGTAATATTGCTCTGTTTACAAGATGCTACCTTTCTCTTTATTTCTCTAGCTGGCGTAGTTTATGAATATAATAACACAATACTCTAAGCAAAATATTGCTGAAAGAACTGCTAGGCTAATACTTCCACGGTATTTGACGCAATGGAATCACAGAGTCGATGCAACGGCAGGCCTCACCCTGAGTCAGGACGAATGACTGACTGCGTTTCGAAGTGTGTTGGTGTTGCGTGCAGTGCAGAGTAGCAGAAAAAAGAGAAAAACGGTCGACGCCGTGGGTAATAATCGTCTCCCGGTCGTAAATTACCGCACCGTTTCAACCGCAAGTAACTTATTTCCCATCGTTCGCACATGCGAATTTTCGCTTTCCAGTATTTGTTTAGTCAAGACAGTTACGCTGTTGGACATGCCGCACTCCTGGATCAGTACATGATAATAACTGGAGTATGGCAGTGTGCATATTAAATTACTTTGTTTCGATTATGATTTAAAAATAAGTCATCAAGTACTACATGGCCAGTTTATTCCTATGCAAATGCCAACTTTTCAATTAATGAAGGAAACGATACATTCGAAAATTATATTGCTTCTGCAGAAATGACGTAGAAGCCGGTATTTCCTGCCCTTCCTGAGGGAAGATTCGTCTGTGTCGCCATTAAGGAACAAGAAAACATTCACAGAAGAACCCAAAACGATTATATTGAAAAGTCTACGACTCAGTTTTGCAATGCGAAATTTACGCACGTCCTCCAGAACTATAGACAATGTGGCATGGCGAGGCCGCACGTGCGATTCGGGGTACGCGTGACCAGTTATCGGTTATCCGTCGATATGGCGACGAGTGGAAAGGTATAAAGCCACGCCACGCCAAGAGGAACTACCTTCACCATGCGTGTCATCGTTGCGGTGCTCTTGGCTTCCCTGTGTGCCAGCGTCGCCCTCGGTAAGTTACTTCTTTTTTCTCGGGTCTATGAGAGCGTCGATTGATTGATTTAATTACTGATTCCGGGCGTATCAACTGCTGAGGTCATTAGTTCCATAAGGGTAGTGCATGTTTTTGCTCGGGAGGTCACGATGTGATGTTGCTCGGGAGGTGGCCTGTAAGTCAAAAGAGGTGAGGATAGAACAAGGAAAGATCGTATGCAGTGGGTGGCCAATTTGGTTTGGTACTGTTCTGCCATTCGCCTGGTATTAATAGGAGAATCCACGAAAACTACTGATCAGGCCCCTTCACACCTTTGGGGCTCAAACCCCAGGACCTCCCGCTCAGAGGCACTGCAGTGACATCACACTGAGCCACCTCTCCCGGTGTGTGTGTGAGAGAGAGAGAGAGAGGCAGAGACAGTCGAGATATTTCTATAAACTCATCTATTAATAGAAGCTTTCGAGTGTAAAATAACGGTATCTGACATTCTGGACGAAATCACGAATATTAGCTTTTATGACGAAGAGGGAGTGGCTTTCTCTACATCCCAAGTGGCTTTCAGAACAGACAAAAACAGTAATCATTTACTCTGTACGTTATGATTAGTGCACTTGTACCATAGAAACTGTGAAATCAGATGACATTTTCCTACGAAACGTGAAACGAAAGGTATCATTATAAGCACCCGATTTATTCAATTCAGAAATTGCCAAACGATTCGTAAAGTGTGCCATTTGAGTCCAACATATTCATATACAGCAGTGTGTTCCCATGCCTTAACGTTTTATCATAAAGATTGCATAATAAATAATTGTTATTGTAGCGCAAACTATACAACTCGTAACAAGATATTATACACGAGAAAATAGTTTTGGGATTGGAATACCTGTTGGTGATCCTGTGAAAATTTAACAACCCTTTTGTGAAAAACATGAGGCAGGCAAATGTGAAAAACAAGGTGCCTTGATTTTATTTCTGTCCTGAAAAGCGTATAACAGAAATATCTAAATTTTCATTTCACTAAGTTCCAAAACAATTGCACTCGCCCGTTTTTATAATAATATCGGCACTATCAAAGAGAAGGAATTTGAAGCCATTTCTGAGAAAATTTTGTTTTTAAAATATCTTTTATTTCGGCCGAAATTCTGCGAAACATTACACGTGCCTTATTTAAAGGTCAAATTTTGAAGAACACAATTTGTTAAGAAAAAAATCTCAATCTTCAACATTGTAATTGTAGGAAGGTTAAAAAAAATTAAACATATGCAATTTTCCAACAGATAATTCAACGAAATTCGGCTTTAGATGAACATTCTGTGTATGGTTTAGCCGCTAGCGTTGTTCACAGACACGCGGACGAGCGAACCATTGATTTTGCCGTAAATCAATTTTTCGGAATCACTAAATCGGCCCACTAAACGGGGATTTTGACTACACAACGTATTAGGAAGTTATTTATTCAGAAAGGAGCCAGAGTTATTCTCTTTCCCGGAATCAGAAACTGACAATACGCGTTTTTCTGTCGAAAATTTACAGTTTTTCGTTTCAGCATTACAATACTTTCTCTTTACGACGTAAATACAAAGCGAGGAAGTGATAATTAGGACAAATTAGGATTAGACGGATTTTAGAATAAATGCCTATTTAGTTCCTTTAGGAGATTGTGAAAAAGATTTGCAAATGTTCAAGAATCATGAAAAAAATAGATCTTTTGAAATCATATATAATGTAAAATATCTCAAAAGGGTAGTTGATGCCTGTTTTACATTACTTTTACTTACTTATTATTTTGCCTAAAACAAGTTATTTTTAAGGATTATCATATTTGAATTACCCATTAAAAAATTGTTACGCGCAAATACTTTTCCGACTTTCCCGGAACGCGAGTATTCCCTGATCGAATACGCAACCGACTCGCACAGAAATTTCTCGCCCAACACACCAAACAGCGAGCTCTGCTAGTGAACATAAAGAGGATGTTCCACGCTGCCTCAGCACGCACTTCATAGGCAATTGCACTCATTCCCGGTGCAGTTGTGCTGCTAACCGGTTGAGAATGAAAGAAATGGAATAGAATAAAATAAACTTCACTTTCCTGAATGATAAAAAAATGCCTAATTTAATGCTTCTCTGATACGTTTTAGATGCCAGAAATACAACTTTTCACGTCAAATATTTTTATGTCTGATTTAATACTTTTGTTAAATATTTTAGGGTGCATAAATCTTCACTGTTTGGTGCCCAACATTCCGAGGTCTAGTGGTAATACAAAAAAATAGCCTGAAACACTTATATAGATCATTATACTCGTAAGTGGTTTTTAGCGACGATATTCGAATTGAATTAACATTTGCATAAAATTTAAACTTAATATCTAAAATGTATCACGGGCTAAAAGTATATTCCAGTAAAATATCTTGGAGTTCTGTTGGATCAAAAACTGTGATAATCCTATATTCAAGCAACAGCTAATAAAACACATAAAAACCTCACAATTACAGCTGCTAATGATTTAAAATTAATTAAGCTATTGTATTTGACATCAAAAAGACTCGACCGTGTATGTTCATGTGGATTCAATTACGCAAATATAGATTTAACAATGCCCGAACGACATATCGGTCATCTTTGGGTGTCATATCTACCCTTCATCACACACTTCCATGACTCAGCAATGTTTAACGATCAGAGATAAAATAAATGAGAGCACCTCTCATTGTCAGTATTTTTTTAAAGATCAACAATCTACTACGTCGAGTACCTATAGAAATGATTTATCAATATCAGCTGGAGCTACTTGACACGAAGAACGTATTCGATGACACAGTGATCATAAGACAGCAGTAAATACACAATTTTTCGCATCTCCCTCGCTCCACTAATCTCAAAAATCAAACTTACTAATCAACACAGGGCTTGCATTGCATTATGAATATAAAACGCAAATATTGTCTTTAAACTATAAATACAAGTAACTTGTAATGCACATCATTAATATTTCACGTATCTCCTCCAGAGACCTTTCTACTAGTTCGACAAATAAGGCCCACAATGATTTTTTCAAATATTTAGAAATATACTCGAATTCTATCTGGCACTTCCAGGAATAATAATAATAATAATAATAATAATAATAATAATAATAATAATAATAATTCTCAACTTCGAGCTCTCTTAACATATTTAATTAAAATTTACTTGTATTTCAATAAAGAAATAACAATTATAAAGGTTTGTTCAAATCTCTAATTCCTCATCCAATCTATTCGAAATGCACTCGCGACAAAATTTTGAAACACGATCATCATTTGATAAAGCCAACAAATACGTACTGCTGTAACAATAGTTCTATACAACGAACTGACTTAGTTAGCTCAGATTAGTTAGCCTACTTAACTGTATCCACTACAGCGACTCTGATCGGGAGGTTCTAGGGTTCGAGCCCCGAGAGTGGTAGGATTTCGACACTGGCTAGATGGCTAGGTCGAAGTCAATAGCTGTCTGGGGGAGGCTTCGGTCGGCTGTTCTGATCGATAGTTCTCCGTTTCTGCGACCAACATCGAGCGAATGTTGTTGCACTGTCCTAAAAGGGTCAGGGACCTTGCGCCTTTCCTTTTCCTTGTCATTTTGTCGCCCCTTATTTACACTCACTCACTCTCACTCAAACACACTACCATTTATGTCGGGAGCTTAGAGTTTGACCCGGCTGAGGCGATGGCCCGCTGATGGTAGATATCTGGTTGAGAAAAAATACCCGGCAAAGCCTATGTGTTGGTCGGCGCCAGATCTCGCCATCTAGCGAGGGAAAGATATCTGCCACCTCCCGCAATAAAACATGCAGTATACTAACGGGACTAAAGACCATAGCAGTGGACGCGTCCGGAAACACAAGAGAACAAGTGGCGAGGACGCGGTGGGGCAACTGAACGGCCTGTCCACAGCGGGCGAGGGCGTGGGGCTGGGCCCCGGCCTGCAACAGTGGGACTTCCTCGAGCTGCGGCCCGGCGCGCACATGTTCTACTGGCTGTACAACACGCTGGCCAACGTGGCGGCGCCCGAGGACCGGCCCGTGGTGGTGTGGCTGCAGGGCGGCCCCGGTGCCTCCTCCACAGGCTACGGCAACTTCGAGGAGCTGGGCGTGCTCGACCTCAACCTCAACTACCGCAACAGCACTTGGGTGAGCTTACGCTCGATTTGCTCTTTTTTCCCTTTCTTTTCTTTTTTTTTATTGGTACGTTATTACTGGTTCTTGGCTTGACACGGAGCTCAATATAGGATGCATGTTGCCGAATTAAATTATGGGAGAGATATATAAAAAGACAAACCGAGTCAAGGTAACATCTAGTTAGTTAGTAAGAAAGTACATATTAATCATTAAAACTGGGTAAAAAATAAAATCATGTATGGGCCACAGGTGTTAACTGGCTCTAATGATGACAAAAAGCCCTCATGCTAAAGGCCTTCTGACTTTATGTCGCCGCTCGATCATTAGAACCCCATCTTGATCAGGTTTTTGTCCAGTTTTCCTGATCCATTGAGCAAATGCTGAGATAGCCCCTTATTTTGCTTCTGGACGTAAATGTAACTTCACTATGCGCATGTTTTGTTGAACTCTCCTTTTGCTTGTAGTGGTAGGAGTAGAGGTAGAGCGAGTTACTATTTTGTTAGCAATGTAGAAAATAAAATTTGCAGTTCGTTTACCGTTGCAAATACGTTTTCTATAACTCGGGAACAAAAATGTCAATTTTGTTGAAATATTGCTAAAATGTGTTTCTATTTATTTATTTTAAACTTTTACTCATCTTTCAACTATTTATAGTTAAAATGACGAAGATATTCTGGAACTCTCGAAAACGTGCGCAGATAATATTCTCCCCACACGAAACATACAGTTTTTACTGTTTTTTTGACTATGTAACTCTAGATCTAAACTCTTGGTGAGTAAATAACTATTTCTAAACTAGGGACATTGCAAATATTTCGAACAGGTGACATAAAACGTTATGATGAAGCAACCACCTGAACTGGAGCGATTAAAAAATTAAAAGCGTTTTGCAGGTTTTTGTTCTAAGACAACCAATGCATGGAGTTCTTAGAGGGCAGTGTGTACTGCTAACGTTAAATTTCCATGATGCCAATCTTCTGATTCCCAACATGATGTAACATTATGAGAATGTAGAGATAGCAAGGCACTGCTACAACAGTTGCGAACGAGTACCATTCATCTTTCTTACAGCTTTATTCACACCAAGGTGCAAATTAACTGGTTACTCTTAACATTAGCCCTAAAACATTTTTACAACAGTTCGGTCTTTAGCCCTGAAACCCTTTTACAACAGTTTCAAAAGTTTTCAACGTCTTTCGCCTGAGATTGTTATCTACACTATTCATTTACAAGAGTGTGGATCACTTTTTACGACTATCTAGCACCTTGTCTGGCGGTTTCATCGAATGGCGACTTCGGTAGCAGTTCTCATGCTCTCGGCGAACTGCGCCACCATTTTAATTTTCGTTTATTCAACGAATATTGACAATCTATTTTACATGAGAAATAATCAGTAAATAATATAAAGAAATTTTGCAATATAAAATGAAATGCAAAAGAGAAAGCCTAGATATTGGTACTTTCCTTGGTATTCTTCACAAATCTATAACAAATATAACAATAGAATATTGTTGTTGAGGCTTACGAGGACACAAAATTGAAAATATATGGATAATATTAGAATAAAATAGAGAATATGTTTGGATGAACGTTTCTTAACAGAACGGTGTGGGAGATGAAGAGAGGAAATTGTGAAGCGAGAAATTTCTTGGCTTTTATCAAATTTTAGAGCTAGATGATTGGAATGCATTTCCAGCCCTCAGTGATATTTTGAGCTTATTTTTCGCATCTTTTCTTGAACAGTTGGTATATTGAGGTCTTTTTGTAGGGAAGCATTTGGTAAGAACCAGGGTGTAGATGAAGTGATTCTTAAAAGTTTTGATACATCTTTGTAAGACTGACTTAGGTTTGCTAACAGTGCCCCAGATCAGGATTTTGAAAGTCCTTACAGGAACTAGAATAGCTTTAATAATTTACGAGTATTCATATTATTAATAAATATAATAATTATTAATAAATTAATAATTTACGAGTATTTTCAAGTGATAATTTTGCTGACGACCAATTAATTCTCAGACTGATAATTATTTTCTGAACAGGTGAACGAAGTGAACGTGGTTTTCGTGGACAACCCGGTGGGCACTGGCTACAGCTATGTGGAGAAGACCAGCCTGATCCCGCGCAGCAACGCCGAGGTCGCCGCGGACCTCGTCACCTTCACCAAACTCTTCCTCGAGAGAAACCCGCATTTCGTCAAGACCCCGTTCTTTATCTTCTCCGAGTCGTACGGAGGCAAGATGGCGGCCGAGTACGCGCTGGAGCTGCAGAAGGCTGTGGAAAGGGGAGACTTCGAGGTGAACTTCCAAGGAGTGGCGCTGGGAGATGGATGGGTGTCCCCGATCGACTCCGTGCTGACTTGGGCGCCATTCCTCCTGCAGACTGTAAGTAGCCTCGTTGGCCAACTAGAGTGGATTTAAATTAAGCCTACACCCTCCCAGCTAACGTTCTGTGACATACCCCGTTTAGTGATATTTACTTATGCGTAATTAAAAATAAAATAAGTTCGAGACAAATTGCATTTCCTCCCGGAGTTCATAATCATATCAAAATAATTATTTTCTTTCTGAACAATCTTTTAAATGACATTTCCTTCATGACGATAAGTAGTAAATAGTACTTTGCGCGTTTTCCGTATCGAGAGTATTGATTGGGATGATATCAATTGTCATTCTACAAGTGCATTACCAAAGGTAAACAAAAAGTCTTCTAAGGAATTACTTACTATTGAGCAGGACTAGAATTTGTATGTAATTACATATTTTTTATTTATTAGTCACAATCAATTTTTGTCATATGTTTACGAATTAGGGTACTGAAGTAATTTAAAACCTATTTGATTATCCATGATCTATTTGTCTATATTTCCAGGGATAGAATATATTTTCCCATATTTAAGAAAAACTCGTTTCTTTACATGTAAATTTTTCTTGAAATATATTCCGTCTTTGTACACTCAAAATAAAGCAAATTTAAAAATGTTTCGAATTTTCGTGATTCGGCAAAAAACTAGTAAAAACGTTTTGGCTGTGCCAAGTGTTACATGATGTTCACCCCTCGGGCGAATTCGAACCCCACGGACCATAGACCCTCGGAACAACATCTACATACCGCACTAGATACCTAAATAACTATTTCATAGTCATTTGCAGCGAAAAGGCTAATAATAACGAGATAACAATTACTCATTTCTTTCCTATCACGCATTTTGCCCTGAGATTCCTCATAATTTAAATTCGATATTTCTGTACATTAAAAAACGTTGTACTTTAATTAGCAAATACATTTGAAAAAATAATTAAATGAAGAACAAATAAATCTTCGATATGTATTCTGTTAGTAGGAAACTCGGTGTACGTGAATGGTGTAAGAAAAGAGCTAGAGGGGCGCGTGAATAGTGTAAGAAGAGAGACAGAGGTGGAGTGAGGGATGGCTGAACGGAAAAAAGAGAGCAACAGGAGAGGAGGGGGGAGAGAAGAAAAGAGGAAGCGAGGGAGGAATAGGGGAGAGAATAAGAAGAGGAGAGAGAAAGACCTATGATTTTGACTTAAAGGTTTTAGTATAGGTTAATTATGCGCAACCTCTTTGAAGATATTGCCAGTTGGGCGTTCGCATTCCGAAGTGTTGATCCCTCTGTGAACGAACCTTTGACGCGGCTGCGTGCGCAGGGCGTGGTGGACTATGAGGGCTACGAGAGCATCCGCGTGTCGGCCGAGGCGACGCGCAAGGCCGTGGAGCTGGGCCAGTGGTCGCTGGCCACGTCCCTGTGGGGCGCCACCGAGGGCGTCATCATGCGCGTCACCGACGGCGTCGACTTCTACAACATCCTCTACAGAGTGCCCGCCTCCAACACTCGCACCCAGCGCTCCAGCAACCTGGGACGTAAGTCACCACCAATCGTCAATTCAAACCAATTCAATGTCTTATTTTAGGTGACGAGACTCAGGCCATTAGGCGACCAACTGAAGCAAAATTCGCTAAGCCATCGGAGCCACGCCCTATACTTTACGCTCAATTCTGTGAAGGGGTGAGGCGGGACCGCCCGCCCGCAGAGGCCACAGAGCAGAGGGAGCGGGAGAGGGAAAGAAGTACTTCTGGAGATGCCAAATGAGGTTTCCGGGCACTATACTCGTAATATAGCTCGTTGGGTAGGCCTGCTCCATGCAGTACGTCTTTCACGGCTGGTTAAAAACACATTTGTGCGTCTTCCAGTATGTATCTCTAATGATAAAATCTGTCACGTTCGCTTTGCAGTGGAGATGTACCGGCGCCACCTCGCCCGCGACGACGCGTCTCTCTACGCGCTGATGAACGGCCGCGTTAAGGAGGCGCTGGGCCTGCCCAAGGAGCGCGTGTGGGATCAGCAGAGCGGCTACGTGTGGAGCGCGCTCACCGGCGACTTCATGAAGCCGGCCACCGACGTGGTGGAACGCCTGCTCAACGAGACTGCCATCGACGTGGTGGTGTTCACGGGCCAGCTCGACCTTATCGTGGACACGCCCGGCACCTTGGACTGGGTGCAGCGCCTGCAATGGCCTGGCGCCGCGCAGTGGCGCTCGGCCAAGCGACGCTCCCTGGCTGTCGACGGATACGTCGAAGGCTATACCAAGAACTACGGAAAGCTCACCTTCTACTGGATCACCCGCGCGGGACACATGGTGAGTGTGTTTTAATTTGTGTGTCCCAGCCCTTAGAAGAGAATTGAGCGCATTTTGGAGTAATCCTCCATTAACATTCATATCGGTGAAGTCGGCGGTAGCGTCTCCGTGTACGCGCCTCTTACATCACGCGCTCCTGCGTCACTATACGGCGGCCAGAACTGGGAGGTAACTAGGATAGAGGTAGGGTTTAGGACGTTTCACAGGAGTTGGACTAGCCCCTTTGAAGCATGCAAACTCGTTTTGTTGAAACAAAAATTCACATGAGATTGTGTGTTCGCTTCCTGAAGTAAGCATTTTTACTTGCGCGTACACTTCTACTTAGTATGCGAAAGGAATGCTAGTAATGTACCAAGTAAAAGAAGTAATGGTGTCTTTTTTTTAAAGAAAGAATGCGTATCGTGGTTCCTTGATAACAAAAGGGAGGACTTTTCTTGCTATTAAGCGTAGCGAATTACTTTGTCATATATGTAGTGCTTTCAGAATTTACGTTTCGCGGGTCGTTGATGTATAACTTATGGTGGTACATAATGGCAAAGACTTTCTCGCTTTAGTTAGTTTCGTATTCTCTTGAGCCGAGACTTGAGCCCATCTTCTACTCAGTTGTTATCGGTGCCTTAACACGTACCATAGTCTCAAGCGGAACCGACAGCTCACGTGGGTACATTACCAGCACCCCCACGGACACCGAACACATAGCCCTATGAAGTATATCACGCCTGCACCTTGAAATCCTTTGTCCATTACTAGCAACTTCGCGGTCACCTAACGTAGCATAGCAATATGTATATCGCTCCTGTACCCAGAAATCCTTTGCCCATGGCATCTTTGGCACCATCTTTCACCAATTGTAAACGTGTTAAGGCCTGTGTAATATAATAATTTGACAAAACAAATGTAATGTATATAATTAATACATACGTGTGCAAAAATACTCATATTTACAAAAAATTGAACATGACCTACTTGGAACTAGTTTCTGATGAACGTATCCCATTAAGGAAAATATTTTATCTTCGTAATTGTAGTGGTAGGTAGACGCCGAAACAAAGTACAGTTTTGCAATTTTCGAAAAATATGGGATTTTAACGAAAGTAATAGCCGTGCCATTCTCTTGGGCGTTCTTTACGCTATTTGAAGACAAATTTTAAGTCTGGAACCCTTTTTAAAAAAATATATCCAAGGGACTTAAACTAAAGTACCCCAAAAATTAAAATATCGGTTTCAAAATCAAGGGGCCGCGATATCGGCCAGATCGATTGAGGAATATCAATTTTGGTGAAAATCCTATTTATGGTTTAGCCACAAACATTGTTCACAGACGTTTTGTCGTCAGTCAATTTTTCGATACCCACAAAACATTGATTTTGAATACACATTATGTTAGAGGAAGTAATTTCCTATAAACCCTTTAGAAAGAAAAACTATTCATTGTTGCATTACCAAGCCTGGCTATTAGTTTAACTGTCGACAATTCACTGTTTCTTCTGCATTACAATACTTTCTCTATACTTACTGTATAAACATTACTGTGAAAGTAAAAATCAATGAAACTTTAAATTCTCATGTAGGCCATTTTTCATAGTCACAAGTAGATAAAGTAAAAATTATCTGTAGTATTAACAATTTACATTTACATTACTATTGTTACTACTAGTACTAACATTATGTTTCAGGTACCAACTGACAATCCTGAGGCTGGTCTAACTATGCTGCGCAGAGTTACAAAGCTGGAATAATTGAATTACTAGTTATGCAAATAAATATACAAAAGTAAAATGTACTGATATTTTTCTATTTAGTTTAACCCTATCTCCATTTTCCTCTTGTCATTTTTTTATAACATTATGAGGATTTTTCTTGCAATATTATTGAACACAAAGTCAATATTATTGAACATTTCAAAAACACATTTGTCAGACCATTACTAAAATCATTGCAGACTTCCTGGTTATGACATCCTTAGAAATGCAAGACCCTAAATAATCAACACACAGGAAACAAAAATAAGGGGCAAACTTCCATGAATCTTGGTGGAAATACTACAAAGATCATTTGCGTTCCAACATTATACATGATTCCTGCAAGTCACCTGAATCTGCTTTCCCTGTATTTTGCCTACAGTATTTTGATTTCTCTGACATAAAGCATCTACATATCCGAGAAAGATATAAAAAGTGTTTCAAAGTATATGATTACATCACTCGAATGGAATAAGCATTTTTCAGATAGGCTGATAGGATGGAACATCTCATGTCAAGGAATGGGTGTTTTGGTAAAAGGACAAGCAATACATTCGCTACTATTTTCAGATTATCAAGTAACAGTGGCTCAAGATAGGAATGACACGGAATATATACCTGAAAAATAGTAGAGGACTCTACAGGGTGGATTTAAATTAAAGTTGAAGAAAACAGAGTATCTGATGGTAGGAGGAGAAGATATGGACTTGGATGTTCAAAGAGAAGGAAGGGTTTAGTTAGTTGAACAGTTCAAGTACTTGGGTACAATCGTGCATAAGTCTGAAATAGTGAAAAGGATACTGATGGTGCATTAAACAGGCAAGAGGAGCCATAAGAAAGTTCAATTATGGAGGCAGGAAATTCACATAGCTACAAAAAAGATTATTGTAAGAACTATTATTGAAAGTATTCTAACCTATGGTGGAGAGAGTTGGATCCTGAAGGAACATCAGAAGCAGAAATTATGTGCAGGAAAAATGGGGAAAAGGAGCTGCTGAATTTCTAGAACGCAGAAAAGTAGGTAACCAATTAGGAAGTAAAACACTACAATGATATGGTTTCTGAGAAGAATATCAGATTTGAGATAGCCTAAGAATGTCCTTGATTGGTCTCCTAGAGGAAGAATGAAAAGAGGAAGTCATCCTCAAACATGGAATTCAAAAATAATTGAAGCCATGTGTGAAAGAAGAATGAACAATGATCTTTGGGCTGATAGAGAAGGCTGGAACACCAAAATAAAGAGGCTACTGAAGACAAGTGGAAATGCTGATAAAAGTAATAGTCGTAAGTTTCATATTGAAATATTTAATATGTTTTGACAATGATTATGGCATACAATTTAAAAAAAAAAAATCAAATCTTTTCCCACTTCAAATCCTAGCTAGCTCTTCTAGAAAAACTATTAACTTCTTTTTCTATTTAAATATGCTTAGACATTTTTTAAATAAAAATTAACCCTTATTTAAAAATATATTTTCTTCACTTTTCTTCATAAAAAAAAAATTGTATTTCTACATTTTTAGAAGACCATCTTCAGAAAAAATGTTTTTAAAAAAATGTAATAGTAATTTCTAGGACCATTGGATGTATGAAAAATAATTCATAGGTAGAAACTTTATCTTAAAAGTCAAAAATTAACAATTAAAAAATTTTTAGTTTGGTTGTGGCTTAAATCAAAATGATGACCGATTATGACCAATCATTTTAATGATTAAGGAGTGGAGAAAATATAAATTTTTTGGTTTCGAGTCCAATCTTGAACAAAAAAAGTAAAAATTGAATGAAAAAGTTAGATCCAGGCTAGACAGTAAGGATAAAACCAAGTCCTTAACCACCCAGAGAAACAAAAAATTTCTCCTATTAATTTTTGAACTTTAAAAGATATTTTAAATGTATTCCTTTTAAAGTTGTTGTACTTATCAAGGAATGCTAACCACACACTGTGTTTACTATGAATATGGCAATCACGTTCCAAGTTGTTTTTTATTTTGATCACTTTCATTGGATGTACTAAGATTTCAGTGTGTCAAAGCTCAAAAAGTTTTTGAACATTTCATTCCAGTAACTAAAAAGAACACAACATTGTGCAAATTAGAATCACATGTCTAACAGTAATTAATTAAATAAAAATACTAAATGATCTCATGTATGACATATGAATGACAAATTTTCTAAATAGTACATAAATAAGGTGCAACATCTGCTTCTTAACATAAGATTCATTCACTAATGAATTCAAAACTGCAACATTATACTAATGATGATAACAAATCTCAATTGAAATTTTTTTTTTAAATCCAAAAAAGAAAAATTTCTTAAATTGTTAGTTGGTAGTCTTTCTTAGAATTTTGAAAAATACTGCTGTTTCTATCTATGTCTCAAAAGTTTCCATACACACTACAATATAAAGATGGATTCAAAGCACAGGAGAAAAGATAGTAAGTAAAATGAAACCATCTCCACAGCTTTCTTCAATAATTTTTTTCACAACTTTAGAAAGGAGATCTCTTATGTTGCCAAATGATATCCCAAAAGCAAACAATACAAGTGTTCACAGAATCTTGACCTGACAAAAATATTACGGAATGAATGGGATATCCTCCAATTTAAGTGAAAACCTAATCTAGTTGATTAAAGAGAGTAAAATCATTGTTACATTACAAATTTAAATAGCACTATCTTTTAGCACCAAACCCTATAAAGTACCTCATATGTTAGGCATTTGCACTTGTGAATTGCCAGGCATCAGTTGAAAATATATTGCAGCAGTGCTGTACACTCTGGTGTACTGGTACATATCTAGTGCATATCTGGTGCTGACCTACCATTGGCTAATAGGGTTTCCCCCAACAAGGTATGTCATACCAGTGAAGTCTGACCCAACCGGAACAAGCTCTAAGCTAACCATTGCTCTCTCGGCATGTGTGGTACTGTAGTGCATGCGAGTGTAAGTGTGTGTAAATAAGGAGTGAGGATAGGACAAGGAAGAGAAAGGAAAGATCACACACTGTCCATGGCAAGTTTGTTCTGGCATTTGCCTGGTAATGATTGGAGAAATCAAGGAAAACTACTGATTAATGCAGCTGGATGCAATAATTCTCCTCCAGAGGCAACTGAATTCGACCTAGCTATCTAGCAAGTGACAAAAAGTGTCAAGTCAGACGGTCAAGTTTCTTTAAATTGATCAAGGAACATCAATTTTGGAGAAACACAGCTGAATGGATTTGGTGCTAGCTTTGATTACAGACTGAAAGACGGACAGACAGATGTTTTGTCATCAATCGATTTTGTAGCAACAAGGACCAGCAAATCATGGATTCTGACTTCTCAATGTGATAGAGTTAATAAGTTATTTACTGTATGTAGGAATAAAATTTATCTTCATTTTCGTTACTAGGGGCTAGCAATGATGTTTTCCATTAAAAAATTCGCCATTTCCCAGTGCACAATTATGTTTTCTCTTCTTATGAAGTTTGGGCAAGTAAAAACAAGTTCTGCCGTTTCCAAAATTTTCTCAAGATCATGATTCCAACATTTGGGTAACTGACTAACCCATAAATTACTGGAAATTCTTTGTAATTAGTAAATGCAATTTGTACCTACATAACAAACCACGAACAATCGACACAAGTCATAATTATTTACTTGAAATTTTAATCTGCATTATTATTCTATCATGTAGTAAGTTCTGAGATATAGGGTGATGAAAATGAATCTCATGCTCTGAATAAAGCAAAAAATAGCAATACTAGTAAAAGATTATTACAATTTATTGATTATTTGTTTTATACACACTGTACTGCAATATAAACTGAGGTTTAAGGTCAATTTCATAATTTATTTTGCACATGAAACATAGGTACCATTTTGCAAGACCTTAACTAAATTTTTGTGAAATGGTGAACAAACATTGAAGATCAATTCACCTAAGAAATCAAGGCATACTTATTCCCAAACTTGTCTAGCATGTTATTATCAGATATGGAAGGATTCAAATATTCAATAATGTTTTGTCTTTTCAACTGCAACATTTTTTTATTTTATGGATTATTCACAGCTTAGCAAGTATGAAAATAATTTCTTGGAGGATCAAAATTCTGAAAATAATTAAACTGCAAATTCATTAATAATTATGAAATAAAAAAGGACCCCTCTGATATTCAATTCAATAATACTGTAATATATTCAAAACCAGCTAAAAACCACCTCAACTTATCAGTTTTCCTTCTGAAAATATACAGTATTTACAGAACATTTTAGCTAAGAAATTTTAATTTAATAATAAGAAAAAATAAATGTAATGTTCACTTGAGTTTTGTTTCATTATCTCACACAAAATTGACTAAATCACACTTTCTTAGAAACAATTACCCAATTTAAATCGCAAAATACTCCCTTTAATGAATTCATTTCTCCTTCATGGCAAGTGATCATCAAAAGTCATATTAAGATACATTGACAAAATATAGAAACAGTTCTTTTACATTGCTGTAGGTCAGTTTCATTTCTCAAATACATCAATTCTATTTCTCTACAACTGTTATCAGGCTGAGAACCGATAACAATGAAAACAAGTAATGCTCCCACACAAAGTTAAACTCCAAAACGAACAAACTCAAGCCACAAAGTCCAATGGTCTGTTGAAACCACCTTTCCGATTCATGTACTGACGATATTTACGTTTTAATATTACATGAACTGTGCCTACATCATTTCCATCCACCTTCTTACCCTTTGTTGTATCAAAAGTACAAAAACCCATCATTTTCATCATCTCTTGTTCATCTGGGGTCTTTCCTTCCAAATCAGCCTCTGAAAATAGAATAAAATATTTTTTTCTTACAATCCATATCACTCTTGAAAGAAAAGAACATAAACAGCAATAAATAATAATAAAAATAACCACAGAACAATTTTTGATTAAATGATGACTTTATTAGCTACCATCTAATTGAAGTTAGCATTCAAAACATGCACTAACGATACTAAAGCCATCAATGGCCTCCCAAAGTACATTTTTTCCTCCCTTAAATTTTCTGTTTCTTAATAGTAGAATAGAAATATTATATTACGAATATTAAAGAACAGTAAAACCTTGCCCTAAATGGCAATTCCCTCTGAAAAATTTGGAGACATTTAGAGAAATGGTGTTTAAGTGCTCCTGTAAATTCAAAATTTAAAGCTCGTTTTTAGGAAATTTTTGAGTTTTCGAAAACTTGATTAAAAATCACTTGAAACGTATTTACACACAAACACAACAGTGTTTGGAGTTCGATTTGGATTTTGAAGTCAAGAGGGTTGTGAATTCGGTTTGGGGAGAATGGAATGAGTTTTACAAGAGTGACAAGTCAAGGGTGTTTGTCTCTAGCTATGGGAAGACAAATTATTAAATAAAATGAGATCAGGATTTCAGATAGAAAACTTGCTGACATGGAAGGACTCCAAGACAAAGTTATAAAAACACTAAGGGAACACTTTTAGGAAGTTATAAAACCTGTGCAAGAAAAAAAGGTGATCTTGGAAAACAAACAACTCTTCAAGACTTTTTAGGGAAAATGTAATGCTGCCTGAATGTTCATAAGTGTTAAAGTTGTATTTTGTGATTTAAAAATATGTGGCTCATTAAAATGGTAAGAAAATGAATTTACAGAAACATTTTTTATTTAGAGCAATTAATACACACGCAATAACACATGCATGCACAAAAAAGAGCCAGATACTAATTTTTCAACCTACATTTCATCGTGGAAAAAGAAAATTTTCTTGAAAATCTCAACAAATAAAAGCTGAGACACTAGTTTTTGCTGGATTACCTTTTTTGAGGAATATCTAATAACCATCTAAAACTTTTCCTATAAGAGGCCACCTCCATCACTATCAACAGACCATTTTTGACTATTAGTGATAACTATGGCTCAGACTTTTAGGTGCTTGACAATCAGAAAATATTTATTTTAATGAGCATAAGAAGTGAAAAATACTAGTTTAAAAACAATGAAAATAATTATTTAACATCCATATAAAAAAACAGGAATAGGTCTGTGCAATCTAAAGGAAGTCTGGGAGCTGCTTGTGCTGCTAGTATGTTATTGCTTGGTGGGTCAGTCTGAATCAATAATAGTGTTAGAAATAGTCCTTTTGACGTTTTCACAGCTCATGAAACAGACTCACTTAACTCAATAGGGGAAGTCACGCTGTAACATATGATGTGTGAAAAAGCAGTGCATTCTAAACTGACACGTCTCTCACAATATGTCCCAAACACACGAGGATTAAACTAGAAAATACTGAAAATATTCATTTATTGATACAAAATTTAGCGAATTATGTAATAATATTTGTTTTGAATTAGTGAATTATGTAATACTTGTCTCTCACAATATATCCTAAACACACAAGTATTAAACTAGAAAATACTGAAAATATTCATTTATTGATACAAAATTTAGTGAATTATGTAATAATATTTATTTTGACAAATATTTTTTTAATGATTTAAACAAACTATATAACAATTGTTAGAATTAAGTATTTAAATATATTTAATTGACATTAACACTACACATTTTGTAATATATTGTATCTAGGGTAATTGCCTGTTTAATGAATAAAATAAAATAAAAAAAAATTATTAATCACAACAATTATTTTTAGGCAACATGCAATTTGGCGTAAGGAAACTATGGGGCACTTCTTAAATTTTCACTTTACTATAATTGCTCAAGATTAAAGGGGAAAAAATATGTTTTTACCTAAAAGTCTGAGTTGTTGTGATCTCCTAAGTCACATTCCCTTGAAATAATATTACACTGCAATATTATTGTCTAATTAGCAAAAGCCTTCTCTAGGTCTATGAATTGTCTGTTGAATTTATTTTGCAGTAAAACTCCCTTCTTTCTTCAATTTTTATTGCAAATCAAGCATCTGTATTATATTAAATTTTTCTAAAACCAACTTGCTCTTATATAAGTAAGACTGACATGGCTTTCAAATGGTTGTTTAACATTGTGGCATACAATTTATATGTTGTATCTATGAGGCTTATTCCTCTATATTTATTAGTTGGTAGAGCTATTAGTCAATTGACAATTTTTTACTATTAAATCTGCTTCACTCTCCTGCAGCCCTTCTGCAACAACCTGTATCCAGTTGGATTGGCGAAATTGAAAAAGACAACCTTAGATAATTGTATTGTGGAATGTTGATTGAGGCACATTTATAGTAGCTAATTTGAAATATGCAAGAGAAATCTCTAGGGCAAAATTAAAGTTTAAAGCCCGGTAAAGGTTTTTAATCTGCAACAATATATGGACGCAAAGACAATACACAAGAGGGTAGACATGATCCATCACGATTCCATGGAATAAATACATTTGAAAAAACAGACTTGGAACAGTTTTAAATGTTCCATTTCGTAAAATCAATCTACTAAGAGACAAAAGACAGACTTTCATCAGGAGCGAATATTAATGTATGATCAGGATCTTGACTTCCTGAGTTGTAGCTTAGATACTGGCCTCCAGTCCCGTTACATGTACGGATGAATGATATCCAAGCCTTTACACATCTCGGGAGTGGCGGTCTAGCTACATTGTGGTGGCGATTTACAGCTCTTAAAAATGCTTGCCTTTCTGGCATCAAAACCAAAACCTCTTAATTATTCACTGCATTCGTTTCAAGTTGAACTATTGCAGCAGCATGTATGGATTGTTCTTTTATACTCGTACAAGTTTGTTGTGTGATAATATCAGATCATCTCTCATGAGTGTGTATGCCTACTTAGTACACTTCAATATTTTCCAGATTGTCATTTGTAATGCTCGTTGCATTACAAGCTTCTCTATTCAATTATTAGCACTGTCTTCTTTTCGAAAATGGCAGTAGGCAGTAGTCCTCAATGAAATTTAATATTAAATGCAATGTATTGAAAACAGTTCTTTTGTTGAAAATTTTATTGACATTGTTAAAACATAGGCTTTTGGCTTTTAGGTGTTTAAAAATTAAAAAATAGAAACTTTGTTATTACACCTTTGTATATCTATTAGAACTCCAGTGTTTATTCCCATTAGACCTTATTAATTGTACCTTCTAATTGTAGACCACTTTTGGTATTAGACCCTCTGTCATGTAGACCTTGTTTCATTAGACATGGTTAGACATGGTATGCAATAGATGTCCTGTTCATTACATCTAACTATATGACCTTTTGTCAGTAGACCTAACAATCTGAAACCATAATGTAATCATTATAAATAACACAAGAAAATCTGTGATACGTTGTAGAACCACTAGTTTTGTATGTGTACCAAAGTAGTAATATATGTGTACCAAAAGGTAATGCTGTTTGCATGAAACAAATTGTCTGATTTCAGCTTAATGCATGAAAAAAACTGTCCGATTTCTACAGAATGTAATCCACGCCAAAGAAAGAAAATCGATAAACAAATTAGAAGGGACATGGCTGAATCGTCAAGTCAAAAGAAAACTAAGGCAGAACTTTGAGCAAATTTCACATTACAAATGAAATTTTATTATACCTGAGCAGCACAGTAGAAATCACTAGTTAGAAGACCTGTATTTTAAACACTAAACTGTAAATGGCTACAAGGCATCTACAATATCTACCTAACAGAATGAAGATATAGCTAATTGTTATAGAATTTTGTTTTAATAGGTATTTCAAACAAATTCTTTATCAAGGATAAAAAGCAGGATCAAAAAACCATACCTAACACAACTGTTCTACAGAAACTATACTCCTTATGACTGTGTTAGTAAAATATTTCAAAATAACCGATGATGGATAATATATGATGGACTGAGTTATCAATGAAATGTGCTGACTACGTGAAATAACATCCAGAAAACAACAATAAAAGATGATACTTTATTTACATTTTATATGAAATAATTTGTGCAGAAATAAGATGGAATTAAATGCGGAAAAGAGTAAATTCATTTGCTTTACCAAGTCTCGCTCGAACATGCGCTCCAGTTATGAATTAGGAACTAACATTAACCACGTGTAAAAAACTAAGTATTTGGGTTTGGTCCTGCGAAGCGACTTAGGTTGGTCAGATCATATTAACAATATGGTTAAAAAATCCTGGAGAGCGCTGCACTTTGTAATGCGTATTCTAAAAAATAGTAGTCCAAATGCCTGATCCCTAGCATATACTACACTTGTTCGTCCAATTTTAGAATATGGAGTGACATGCTGGGACCCGTACAGAAAAGGGCAAATCGAAGCGTTAGATAAAATTCAAAAACGGGCCTCAGTTTGTAAATCAGGGATGTGTTGGTGACGAACGTGAAGAATGGGGGTCCTTATCAAAGAGAAGGGAACGGGCGCGTTTATGCGTAATGTATAAGACATACAGAGAGGACACAGCATGGGCAGATATCGGTAAAAGATTACAGAAATCAGATTATAAAAGCAGAGGAGACCATCCTTGGAAAATACGATGTAGAAAGCAAAGAACTGATGTAGGCAAGTTTTCCTTTGTGAATCACACTATAGTAGATTGGAATAAACTACCTGCAGAAGCACTAGAGGCTCTTAGTTCTAATGTAGCCAAATTTAAAAATATGCTTCATTCCATCTAGATCATCTCTAATAATACTGACTGAGACATTTATCTTTATTATTATTACTTTTATTATTATTAATATTACTATTACTTTTATTATTATTATATTATTTCTGACAAATTTATCATCATTGTTAATGTCATTAGCTTTTGGGAAATTTTTAAGTTATTATTATTTCTTATATTGTTATTGTAATTATTATCGTCATGTCCCTTATACAGTGAAGTGAAGTGAAGTGAAGTGTAGTGTAGTGGAGGGGAGTGCAGTGTAGTGTTGTGTAGTGTTGTGTTATGTAAACTAGAAGTGAATTTACAGTTAGCTAGAAATAAATTGGAACTATGATATCGACCCCTAATTCTAATAGTAAACCTAATTGTAAATGTTGAAAATGTTTAGTAATTCTAATTGTTATCATATTTGCCACCGAGCATTAGCTCAAAGCGAACTTTAATAAATCTATCTATCTAATACAGACAATGCTGAACATTTTTTACATCAACAGAAAAGTGAAAAACTAAGCCATTAAGGAACCAACTCTTGTTTGTATTTTCGAAAGCTAATGGAAAATCAATATAAGAATACTAATTTTATTTGAAAGAAAAACCTGTTAAATTTTCGTGAGATGTATATGTCGTGTTATATGACTCAGCGTGTCCCACCTCTTTAGTGACGGTAACATCAACAATGACCGTCTGCTAATATGCAATCTCTAATTTCTATTTTTATTCAGAGAATACATGAATTCTTGAAAATCTTCAAGACTTCAGAAAATAGTTTCTTTAACTTCAAAGTTAGAATTTCCTCAAAGAAATAAATATAAAAGAAGGAGATCAAAAGAGAGAGTTCGTCCTAATTGAATTCAGTGGCTGGGGAAAATTTTGACAGGGTTTTCAAGAATTTGGTTATTTACGTTTTTCAGGTTCTTATTATTTTGACAATTACCTCCAAGGGAAATTATCTCATTAATAAAACAGGAAACTCACATACATTTCTTTTAAACTGATTTTTTTGAAAACACAACATTTTGGAGTTATGTTTGGTTCCCTTTTCACAACAAAATACACAAATATTTACTGTATTAATACACAATAGTCAATTTTACATTCACAAACATCATTAAAGAATACTTAAAATATTCAATAAAAGTTGCATAAAAGTTAAATTTGTATATGATGTACGTTTGAACATAACACCAATATAAAACAACCTGATTACAAATATAATTCGATTACAAAACACAGCAAAATAATAGGTCACTGTTTTGAGTTTGACAATACAAGCATATTGCATCAGGATACGAAATACTACTCTGGCATATGTTTGAAAATATTGAACATTCAAAACAAAGCCACACTCAACACTATGGTGGAAAAATTATCTTTTCAAGAGAGTATGACAAAGTGCTAGTGCATTTCAAAACACATCGTAAATGGTGTTTACACCTAAAAGATAAGAAGCTACTGTTTAAACTCAACAGACTTGTACTACAGACAATTGTCCTACCCCTACCTTCAAATCCCTTCCCCTCGCACTATATTCTCAGTCATATCTTTTCTAACAGTCTTTACACAGCAGCCAATGTGAAACCTCAAGTCACACAGACATGATATGCCCATGATCCAAAAGGTATGTGAGCTTTGAGTCCATTTTGTTGATCTGACACTTAAATAATTTGAAACTTGTTTTGTTCTTGTATTATATGATTTGTCTAAAAACTAAAGCAAGTAACAGGATGAACTTGAATAATATGCAATTTAGATAAGATGATATTCAATGATATGATTTGGAATGAAAATGTTCAACTACGGAAGTTTTGTACTATGTTAATTAGACACAATAAGAATATACCCAAAACCTGCTCAAAGGCTTATTCCTGATATTCGTAATATGCACGATTTCTGGTAAGGCTATCAGATAAGCAAAAGAAACAACAATCTAACGATCCATTAGCCAAACATGCTAAGTTATTAACAGTGGTACGTATTATATACCATATTTTTAGTATTATGCATTAACAAATGTATATAGTAAACAAATTGAACTTTTATTGAATATTTTAAGTATTCTTCAATGTTTATGAATGTAAAATTGACAATTGTGCATTGATAAAGTATAATTTTTGTATTTCTAAGGCCAGAATAGGGAGCCACACATAGCTTCAAACATCCTGAACGTTGTTTCAATCAAATGAAAAAAAAATTAAAAATTATATTGATTTCTTGTTTTTTAATGGGATAATTTCCCTTGAAGGTGATTGTTAAAATAACAAGCACCTGAAGACGTAAATAACCAAATAATTAGAGAACAATCTAAACCTCAATTCAACACAGGTTTCAAGGGGTTTCTGTAACAAAGCAGAACATCATCATCTCATTGAAAATAAACGCTTAAATGGTGATAATAAATTTGGGAGGAAATTAGATCTTTCACATGCAAACTGCTAGTAGTTACCTTAGGGTGAGGTCTTAGTGACTTGAGTTTGAGAGAAGATCATTTATTTGAGGATTATCCCAAATGTAATGTAAACACTTTTGATACACAATAAGTTTTGTTACTCAAATAAGCAGATTTGAAAAAAACTTGTGGGCCAAAAAGGGGGAAAGGAAAGGAAGATAACAAACTCAACTACAAGAAATACTTCTCCTGAAAGTAATGAAATGTTATCACTCTGTTTATACATTCATATACCAAAAATCTTTACACATTATTCTATTAACAAGTTAGCAAACGATATTCCTGAAAACTAAGAAAAACAAAAAACATCAACAGCATTAAACTACCTGTGATTGGAGGTCGTTCAGCCAAAAGATGTCTTGGCCTGGTCTTTTCTTTGCTGCGAGATCTTGACCTTGACCGAGATCGAGACCAGGATCGAGAGCGTCTGTGCCTGTGGTCACGTTCTACAGATCTACAAACAGATAAACAAAAGGTATGTAGCATGTAAGGTTTTACACCAAAATTACACATGACACACACGCAACATTCAACAAAACATTTCACTTCCATATTTTTCATTATAATACTTTTGGTAATGTATGTAGCTACACTTTGATTATCACAATTCATACCAGAGGTCTAAATGTGATAAGTGGCTGAAGTAACTCTATGAAATTATACATAATACATCTGTTGAGCCAGGGAGAAAGAAAACATAGCAAAAATACGTACTTTTAAGGAGAAATGATTGAAGTTTCGAATTTAGAATTCATTCTTATTTTTTCTCATACCATTTGATTCAAAATTTATGTGGCAAATATCTGAATCACATTAATACTTTTAAATAAAAATATGACTTTTCTCTAGCAAAACAATCTCAAAAACCTAGGCAGTTTTTCTGACATCTGCTTTATTTAATGCAAATTTTTTCCCAATTTTGTTATAATCAATTACCTATCTAGGCCCAAAAATTGTTTGCATTTTAGGTAAAAAAAATATTTGCAATGCAATTTCAAGAGACATTTTAGAAAAAAACCTCAAAAATACTATAGGTCCTGATTGATTCAGTTTATCATTTTATTTATATACTCTTTGGCAATTGCCTAAATTGCACTAATAAAGAGTTAATTTAATTTTGCTTCTCAAAGTGCCTAAAAAGATCCAGAATGTTTCGTTCAAAGTCTTGTATGTTCAGCATAAAAAGGACAAGAAAAATAATTATAGAAGACATTCAGAGATCTTATATGTGTACATCACAGATATAAAAAGTGAAGTTAAGAAACAAACGACCTGAAAATGGTGACGAGGCACCAGCCTTAGTCTTGTCGCTCATGATACCATATTTATTTAACATTCATATGTTATGGTATTAATGAAAGGTAAGCCCCCTTCCAAATATATTTTTCTTTTCATCTTCACAATTTTTTTAAAAAAATCATCTCCATTTCAATTTGGCGTAGATATGACTCAAAATTACATACCTACGTCGTCTTTCCCTAGACCTGCGTCGCCTACGATCTCTATCTCGATCCCTGTCTCGGTCACGTTCTCTAGATTTGCTTCGACGTCGACGTGAGGGCGAGGGGGATCTGCTGTGGGCCATAGCTGCAACTGTCAAACGGCAACAAGATAATGAAAAATACACAAGGAGGGAATACAAATATGCAAAATAACGTAAAACTAGCTGAGTTTCAATAAGGAAAAAAATGTAACGCTAATTTCAATTTATCACATCTATCAAATTACATAAAAGCATAACTATATAATTACATAAAACATTCCAGATATTGAACAATAATAATGCGTGCACATTATTTAACTTACTACTATGACAAAATTACAAGTACTTCAAAAGCAGAAATGTTTGGAAGGTTAAGAAGAAAATAATTGAATTGCTAAGAAAGTAATAGAACAGCACAGAAAACATCATTAATGAAAAATAATATACGTCTTCAAATAAAAGGATATAACTTTTCATTAGATATCTTACCTAACCTAAAATACGAAACCCTGACGTTAGAACTGCTGGTTACTCAAAGGCTGCTCCAGAGAGTACTGCTCACTGCCACCCAGAGAGTGTATATGCTGCCACCACAGAGAAATAACATACAGAAGAGTTGCATCGCAAAACAATTGCAAGTGCCGAATCAATTTCCATGGCCACCAACCAACTTCAAGTGTCAAACTAGCTCAGGGTAACCAACGTTTCCCCACTTTTGTCATAACGCCAACTGCGCCAACGGGACCTGATAGTATAACATAACCTCTGCTTCTAGAAAGGAATTACGGGAACGGAACTGTAAGTTTATTGGTTTTGCTTCTTCTACTAAAATTTAACATAAAGAACGAGATTACTCAAATTGTTATCGTGGGTTATTCCACTTTGTCTATATTGAATTTTAATTTTTTAACACAGATGAAACCTACGGTAGTAGCCGATGAAATGTTCCCTGAGGGTGCTGGAACATACATGGATTTGGAGGAGGTAAGTTTGATGTCAACATTTATTCAGATATTGGGATGTAATCTGTTTTTTGTGAGATAATTTTTTTTTCAGGCTGGAGGATCAAGTGGCCTTCTAATGGACTTAGCAGCAAATGAAAAAGCTGTACATGCTGACTTTTTCAATGGTGTGTAAATAAGTGTCTTCCAGTTAGAGTATTGAATTATTTTATACATTGCCCTGCAAGAGGTATTTATCTTGCAGATAATGCAATGCAATGCAATATTTTTCTTGAGCTGTGATATGATTTTTTCTTCTACGACATGTAGATGAATTATAAATAAGTTACTAATCAGTGTTGACAATACTTATAGCTAACAAATTAAATTTTAGCATGAGGAGATATAAATACATATATAAAATGCCTGCAATGGGTTGATATTGTGCGAGCCTTAGAACCTTGAGGTTTCAAAGATCTCATTTGGTATGTTTACTTAGACCTGGGTGTTCGGTTATAAGCAATATTATGTAAGTCTTACTTTTTGGGAGAAAAATTTAATATACTTTAGCCAGTTTCCTCCACTTCTTACAAGTGGTTCTTGTTTGTTCCTTTAGTCAATGGCTAAATAGCCAGTTGATGAAACATTGTTTCACATTGTAATCGTGCAATCATTACAATATACTATTTAAATTTATGATTTTTCTTGCATGTAGCATAAACAAAGAAAACTAGTGTAATACTGGATTGTGTAATTAAACTTACTATGATATAACAATTTGAACACAAACGTGTGGCCTTGTTACCAAATGCACTAAATAATTCAATGCTATGTCTCTGCCTTCTGCAATTTTTGCATGATAGAACTGTAATGCAAAAGACACTGGCTTCATTGAGTTCGTGGATGTTTGGCTGATTTTTTTTTTTTTTTTAATTTGTCTGAATTGGATGCAACACATCTATGGGGGGTGTTGAGGGCCTTGGAGTAATCCTCCATTAATATTTATAGGAGTTATCCATTAACGTTATGTTATTTACTGTCATATCTTGTCGCAGTCAGTTGTTGAGAGGACCGTCAGGTAGCATTTCCGCGTATGTTCCTCCTGCGTCACTATCTAGCGGCCAGAATTGTGAAGGAATTAGGATAGAGGTAGGGTTTAGGATACTTCACAGGGGTTGGAGTAGCCTCCCCTGTGAAGCATGCAAACTAGTTTTGTTGTAACGAATGTCACACGAGATTCTACAGGAATCAAACCTGGAACCTCAGTAGTGAAAGGTGACTTCGCACATTTAGTAGCCGAGCAGAGGAAAGAATTAAATATTTGTGGTAATATATGAATTGCTTTTGCTGCTACAGTCTACTAGAAGGAACTTATAGCATTGGGTTAATGAGGTACAAAATTTAATTTGTACTCCTAGGAAATACTCAACAAAATAACAAAAAGAGCTTAAGATGTGTGAAAGTATTAGTTGAAATTCAGGGTGATATTTAACTTGTTTCATAATGCATACAGTGACTAATTAGTACAATGTTCTGCTTCTTTTTCAGACTTCGATGACCTGTATGATGATGATGATTTACAGTAACAAATCATAAAAATTATTTAAACATGTTAAAGTTATTTATAATATTCATTGCACCAAACAAAACCATATGTATAATTTAATCCCAATGCGAGAACAAGGTTAAGAAAAGGAATGTAATAAATGTGAAAAAATTGCAATATTGTCAGAAATCCAGGTGTTTTATTTATTGTGAAATTTCACAAAAATCTAATTGCCTATATTCTCAACTAAAACTAAGTCTGGAACACAGGCACCATTTTACAAAAACAAAAAACAATACAAATTGCACAGCTCCCTTTCTCACAGCCACCATGCTCGACATGTGGGAAAGACAGCCATATTTAAAACATTCTTACACGCTTTCGCACACTGAAATAAACGTTACTCAAAGCATAAAGATTGCAGTAGATGGATTCTAGAAATAAGGTATTCTACAAACTTACACATACCAAAACAAATCTGCTTCAAACAGAGTCCCCAGTCACACACGTGTGCATCCTAATATAATCCACACCATGGGCACATGATATCCTGAGTTACGTATCTACCTCTTCTGGAATGAAAACTAACTGAGGCAGATCAACTTTGTATGGCAAAATATTCACAAGAATTCCACCCTATAACAAGCACTACAGTAACACTGGCACACAATGTGACATGCACTGTAGTGTGTACACTGTTAAGATGTTATATTTTGTATAATTCTGATTAGATATGGTGGCTGTATTCTTGCTTCTTAAATTTATTCTAATCCCAATTTGTACAGCGGCATGTGCCAAGCACAAATGCCATTATCAGCCTCAAGGCCAAAAACATCTCTCCTATGAAAAACATTTGAGAAAGCAGTGAAATCTTGCTGTAAATCCCTGTTTGTGCGGTGAAGTTTGCTTCCTTGAAACTTTAAGCACTTGAATTTTTTTATTCACAACATAAGCAATTCCACCTCTTATGATTCGTCTTCACAAGCATTGTACTCTATGTACTCGTCTTACATCAAGCTTCTAGAAGTAAGATTTCACTGTTCTCACATGTCCTGGTGCTGGGCGCCTCTTCAACCAAAATTGCACTGGTGAGCAGTGCTTGCAGAAATAAATCCAACAAGGAAAATAAGGTACAACTTTCAAAACTAAAGTGCCAAGCACAACTTCAACAAGAGAAACACGACTCTCAAGTCAATACTCGAGTTCTCAATAAATCTGCAATTTCAAGGCCATGTAACTCCTACTTCCAAGGCAATATAGCTACCTCAATTCCCCCATATTGCACAGTAAGCACACAAAAGGAGACCGATCCATAAGTGCATTTCATTGAAAGAACAGTGGGAACTGAGACTTTCAAAAATCACTAAAAAAACAGAATGTGTTCAAATTTTCCAGACGTGTATTCAAATCAAATAGCACTCTGGAAAACACAGCCCTACCTCATAGCATTCATTGACACATACACACCTATTTTCTCTCTCGCGCGCTCTCTCTCTCTTGCTCTACTCCCCTCTCACATTCCATCTTCATGAAGTAGTAACTTCAGAAAAGTTAATTAATCAATTCAGAGGGATTCTTTTATTCTGGGGCTGGACGGTGGATTTCAACTTCAGAACTTTGGAAACAAACATCAATGGATGACATGGTTATCCTATAAAGTGTACTCACACAAAGGGTCAGGGAGCAGGTGCCAAAGGGAATGAGACGAGGAACAACTTCCTCTCTGTTTAATAACCCCAAGCACAGTCATGAGGCTACAGTTTATTTTGTTTTTCTTTTTGAGCTACGTGGGCAAAATTGGCAATGCCTAACTTGCAGCCTAAGGCAGCTAGTTCACTTCAAGGTCAGAAGAAATATCCGACTCTTCGTCAGAGAAGTCGTGCAGAGATGGTGACAATGGATCAGATAAAGAAGTGTGGGATGACTGGCGTGACAATTCACTGGTCCCAAGATTTCCTTCCAGTTCATCAACGGTGAGAACAGACGAGGAGCTGGGGCCAGCCCCAAGCTCTGGCAGAGGATCCACCTGGCCTGTAGCCAACTCTGCAACATAATATACATCTTTGATCAGCTCTGCATACACAATTCATTATGACAATTAAATTCAATTAGAATATTCAAGCTTTTGTACACAATAGGAAAGTGAAGGAATGGGGTGTGGGACGCCTACACCCCCCCAAATTAGTTTGACTTTCTTACCATTTTTCAGACACCATCATCCAAATCTATCTACTTTTCAATCCTTAATACCTCTAACCCCACTCAAATTGCCACTCTCCGTTCGTATCTTGTACTGCCCCATCAAACGTCACAAATTGCTATTGTTCTTAAGATATAGTAATTGTTTTGTTTTGTTTTACAATATTACATTAATTTTTACATTTAAACGATTTAAATGCAGGGCTATGTTTCTCCTTTAAATGCATAACAAAAAATTAAAATTAGTTCTGAACAAAAAATCTAAATTCTGTAACAGTACTTCTGCAATCTCTGAATAATGTTTTGTGCTCAACCTGAGTCTTGCCAATTTTAATCAAAAATAAAGTAGAAAATTGTGTATTAATAACTTTGGAGGTTCAAAAAGATAAACTACATTTGTGAATACAATTTTTGGAAACAGATGTATCTATTTGAATTATTGCACCAAGTACAACTAAAATACCACTGATGTTGATAAAATCATATTTTTCTGTAGCAGGTATTGTAGAATTTGTAGTGTAGAACTTCTTAAAAGTTCTTACTTACCATTGAATTGCAATGAAAACTACGTGGACCTATAACATTTACTTATAAAAGCATATGTTGCTCTCTTCGAGCAAAAAATATATAATTCTTTAATGTGGAACTATTTTTGAGAAAATTGTGAAAATGCCATTGTAAATGTAAAATACTCTCCAAAATTAATAGTTTTCAAAGTTGAGGGGATGTAACATCATCTCAGGGAATACGTTTTGATGAAAATCCTATGTACAGCTTAGGGCTAGTGTTGTCCACAGACAGTTGGACAGAATGCCAAAATTTTTTCGGTATGAAGTCTCCATAAAATATTTAAACAACCCTATTCTCTAATAATAATAATAATAATAATAATAATAATAATAATAATAATAATAAAGAGTAAAACTGTTTTTTTTTTCTTTCTTTCTTCCAGCTGGGACATGGTTATCCTATTAGGAGCTTGCTGGTAACTAAATGATTGAAATTGAATCTCCCGCTTTGATAACCGCTCACCACCTGATCAAATGTCAATTCCATTAATTTTTAACCGAGCAATTCAAGAAAGTACGGTCACAAAAAATTAATTTTTTTGGAATCAGGAACCGTTGAAATATGTTTTCCTGACAAAACAATTGTGCTTTTCACTACAGCATTACAAAAGAAAAATAGAATTTGATACTTTTACATAACCATGAGTGAAATATGAAAATAATCAAAATAATATAATCTTGGCAAAGACCCCACCGCAACAAAGTTTAAAAAGAATATACCAGAAATTTTTGTTGTAATATATCATCTCACATTATATTCATTAGTTTAGAACAGAGCAACCAGTAGAACTATCTTGAGAAACAAAGAATTTACCTTATCTTCTAGAACCTATTTTTAGACACCAAAACAGATTTTCGAAGTAAATGAAGTGTGTATAGGAATAAAACTGAATAATTCTGTAGTTTATAATCAAAGGTTACAGCTAGAGAAAACTGAAAAAACTCTCAAGGTGATTTTGAATCTTTATTTATTGTGTTAAATCCACTTCTTTATCTCCAACTTATAGAATTTAATATCTTTTTCCTGAAGATTATACAAAAAAATCACTCCCTCCAAATTACAATTGCACTGGCACTCAAACTTTTATTCTCGGGTAACCTAAATAGGATATTCAAGATATTCCAACAAAGCATTTAGTTTCCATTGGTAATGTATTTGAGCGTTAGATAGACCAAGGCATAGAACTGGAATTTGTGCTCTCAGCCATCAAATTTTAAGCATTTCTAAGGGAATAAGCTTCACTATTGAACAAATCTAAAGAAAATAAATGGAAGCAGGAAGCATACTAAAACTATGAAAATATGCCATCATTATCCCAGAATTTAAGAAAGAAGACTTACTCTTGCTAAGAAATTGTAAGTCTATCAGCCTGGCAAGTAAAGCGGAGGAGATGGAGACTATTATAGCAATGAAGATTCAAAAATATACCTACACAACTACCTGGCTTTGAACTAGATCAATCCACCACAAGAAACCTGATAGCCTTGACACACGAGACTAAAATTCCATACTCAAGTAACCAAAAGATACATCACACCTTTATTACACCAAGTCTTTAGCAGAATATTTCATGAATGACTTCACTTTAAACTCACTGTAACAGAAATAGAGGAAAGTTGCACTCATGGATAACAACTGTCCAGCAATAAAGCTTTGTTTTTATGACTTGGTAAAAAGTCTTTCAACCCCTCATTCAGTTAAAAGTGGTGTTCCACAGTTCTTGAACCCACCCCATTCATCATATGTAGGTTGGTATGGAAGCTACACTGACAATCTTACCAATCTAACTGAAGGCTGTGACATGATCTACTACAGATAAATGAAGGGTCAAACCTGGAGCAATTACCTCTTCACCATGATAATGCTCTGTCCGTATCTCGGTCCCCAAAATCCCAAATTCCAGCAAACCAGAAGTACTGTTGCAAATGTTATTAAAGGCAGATTACTACACAATAAATTATAGATTACAAGTGACTTGGCTGCTTTGTGAAAATCAAACAATATTTTAAATAGGAAGGGCACTACTACCATGACCAGGAGAGAGAACTTCTGTTATCTCACAAAAATTATTTCTGAAGGGGAGACAGGAGTCAAAGCAAAAGTCTGAATTTGACATTTTTGGCCTTTTAATATTTTTGAAAGAGTTCTTCTTTTTAATGAAATTATATTACATCATTGGGATATTCACGCTTAACATACTTTTTATTTTTTCTCGTCATCTGCACATGTCAAAATGGACAGTAATATGGGTGTCAAGTTTCTCATTTACATTATATCTTTTGAACGTTTATTTATTCATCTTATGGTAAGCGCAAATGGCCCACAATACAACAAATGCAGTCCAAAAACTATATATAACAATTCTTTTTTTGATGAGTTCATCAGAAATGTAGTTACATTCATGCAATAAGGATAGAGGGATAAATAAATGTATTAAGAATTTTGAAAAGCATAAAAAAAAAGACCACATGGAAATCCAATAAATATTGCTATCTCACACATCCGAAGATTTTTAATAAAGGTGTTTTTTAATAAAGATCCAGTGTTTTTTAATAAAGAAAACCTGATGGATTTGGGTCAAGTGCACTTGCACGAGTTGACCTTGAACATTCGTGGGCATGTGTGATTTTTTTCCTGACTGTCGATTGCATCTGTTCCTGGTAAGCTGCAGTTGAACGATATAATGTATAAAGCTCTCGTCAGTTTTTCATTGCATGGCAGAACAAAAGTGACTTCTTGTTGAAGTTGCTCCGCTGTGCAATGAAAAACCAACAAGAGCGTTACACACGTCACTCAAATTCTGTTTGCCAGCAACAGATTTAAATGACAGGAGGAAAAAAATTTACACACACTCACGAAGGTTCAAGCCCGGCTCATGCAAGCGCACCTGACCCAAATGCATTGGGTTTTTTCAAAAAGAAAAATGTCACTTTTTTTAACAGACCTTGTGCAAGGCATTTGTTGTAATATTCCGAGTGTGCATTGTACTTAAACACTGATTTATGCAATTCTGCCCCTGGCAGGAATCAGCTGTTGATCCATCGGGATGTCACAATAGTGAGGTTCAAGCTTGCGATTGGAGGAAACTTAATAGCTGATACCTGCCAGGGACAGAGTTGTAAACTTTGCAGTTTGGCTTCCTTGCTACTGCTTGCATGTGTACATTTCTGTGTTTGGAGGAGAAATGAGAGGAGTCAGGGGAGTGCCAGGCTTCCCAAGCGGGCAAGTAGCAAGTGCTAGTGCGGTTGGACATGCCTCATGTATAAAGTAAAGTTTTTTTGGTCTTTTGTCCAGTGTCAAAATATCTCTTCCAAATTACTTGAATTAATGCTTAACTAGTTTACCAATAATGACAAGCATACACTCAAACACTAGACATATAATACAAATATAATATTTGGAGAAGAGTTGAATAGTGCTACAAGTGAAATTACATAATATGCTAAAGAAATGTGTGTTTAACAGGAATCAACACTGAAAAACATGAAATAATTAAAGACCACAAGAAGTATTAATAATTGCCAATGGCTTTTTTTTTTACCTCTAACAAATAGCATAATACAAATGTAGAACTTTTCCTAAGAAATTCTTGTCAAATTGTTTTGATGAAGTTCTCATCAATGTACCTTATAAGATTGATTTGCCCCCCAAACCCATTGTTTGAAGAAAAATTAGAATGAAAACAGAAAAATTACATTTTTTAGAACTAAAATTATGGAAAGAAAGAGGTTAGGAGTTCGAGAATACAGAGGAAAAAAGTTAAATCACAATTGAGAAACCATGTGGGCCAGTTTCATGATCCATCAAGTTATAGCCTTTCTTTACTATCCAATTTGGTGATTGTTCTGTAAATAGTGCTTTGCAATGTAAATTAAGATTGCCACGTTGAGTCACATGTGGCCCATGTACTGTACTGTTGAGAAAATCGTCAATCATTGTAATTTCAATTATTTAATTATGTTTTATTCAAATAATTTTAAAAGATTCTGGACTATGCTACTAAAGAAATATTATTTTACATTTAATATGAATTATTTTTGTAATCCTGTGTTATCACTTCAAGGTTTAGTTCACCAAAAAAAAGGCAAACCAATGTAAACAAAATATATTTATAATTATACTTACGAATAACATAATTTTCCAATGATTTTGGCACCATTGATTTGGCCCGCTGGAGGTCATTTTCAGAACATGTTCCATTGTCGAGACCTACACAAAACAATTTGGTAAAACAACATTCAAATAAATTTTAAAAAATGCTAACCACAATCTGCAAAATTCTTACCTAGCACCATCCCCATTCGTTTCAGAACTTCAATATCATCATGAATCTCAAACTTATCATCAAAATTAAACAGGTACTCCATTCTGCAAATAATATACAAAAACACATTAGAAACCATTTTAATACAATTTGTATCAATATCCATAACTCCGTGGGAGAAAATTACTTGTCATGAGAAATACTGCAGTCAATAACAGTCTTCTTGCTGGTATTCACAATAATGAATGGCAGTTGTATTGCAGAATTTGGTGGAGGCACCCCTGAAACTTTCTCTTGTTGCCGATTTCGTTCAACAAGATTCTTAAATGAAATTTGCTGCAATACCAAAAATTTCATTATTATAATTTCAGTAAGAAAAATCACTATTTTATGACATTTTTTTTTCTTTTTTCAAAACCACACCTGCAAGATGAGATCATGCAACTGTTGTGTTTTCAGTTTAATGCGCTCTACTCTCCTTTGCTTGTCTTTCTCCAAATTAACACATTCTTGTAGAGAATTTGTTGGTAGTCCAAGCCATCTTATTTCCTTCTTCTCTTTTGATATAATGTTCATTGCCATAAGAACATTCAAGGCATCATAGACACGTCTTCGAATATTCTTCTGATCATACTGTTGCTGCACACCAATGTGTTATATAGTGCACAATTACAATAGTAAACAAAAAATCAAACAACAGGTTGTGCAAATACTCTAACAATTTATATTGTGTATATGTCTGTATAATTATAATAAAGAACTATTGGAGAAGTTTCATAAGAGGATTTTTATCTTACAATGGAGCATTGAACAATGTGATACCCAAATAATATAATCTCATAATAGGTTCCATCACAATGTTTAGGGTAATTTGTTATAAAATTTCCATACTATTCTGCAAGTTCCCTAAAAACCTGGACTGATAAGGGAAATGAAATACAGCTAGAATGATGCCAAAATCCTTTCCTTTTTTTTTTAATGCAAAAAATAACAATATTAATAAGTTTTCCATTAACATCATAACATTCTGAAAGATCCAATTTTGATGTTCAAAAAATTAAATTTAAATTATTGTTTCTCAAGGAGTCCACTGTTCAACAATTTAATACAGTTAATACTAATATTTTATAAAGAAATTTATATTTAATTTTGGAGCCTCTAATGCAATGACTCACTACATTTCTGTATCAGTGCCAAGAACATTGGTAGAAATACAACAATAACATGAAGGTTAACTCAACCTTTCAGTTGATATATAAAAGTTAACGTACACAAGTTGAGAATGAAAAGGTAAGCATTTTCTAATCATTTTTGAGGTTTTAAAAAGTGTAAAGTTCTAACGAAAAAAACCTTTTTTAAAAAAAATCTTTTGTTAATGTATATTTTCTGAGGTGGTGTTTTTTAATTTTTTTAAAAATTTTATTTATTTAACTGTGCCATTATAACATAACAAGTACTTTAAGTGTAGTTTTATGATAAAATGTGTACCTGGTCCATTGGTGAAGTCATCACACTAGGATTGGTAAACTCTGCAACAAGTTCATCTGCCACTTCATTGTACGACGTAGTACCTTTCTTACATACTTTTTCACATACTTTCATGGAAAAATGTCTTAAACCTTTGCCAACTTTTTCAGATTTCCTACGTTTGCTGAAATGCGATAATTCACATTATTATTATTATTATTTAAATATTGAAGACATTAAAAATAATAATAGTCAAGATCAGTACCAAAATTGCATGGTATATAAAAACAAAAAATGCTTTGTGAACAGTTTAGTTTACAAGCAACAAAGCAGACAAATTGCATAAGCACCTGGATGCAGTTCTGGCACGTGGTAGAGGATTCATCTGGATTAACAAAGAGAGTCGAGTGTACACTCAGGACATCGTCAAGTTGTGATTCTTTGGGCGATGATGGTCTCCACAGTAGAAACACACTGGGATCAGGTGGATCATGCAGTCAAGAGTAGTCACGCACATAATTTGAACTTAAAACAGTAAAAGTTAAACACCATGAGTTTGTATTCCTAGAAGCATTTTCCAAAGCTCAAGGCCACACTAACAATTTCAAACGTGACAATGGGTTTTATAGACTAATGTACAGGAAATATAAAATAATTTCCATAAATTTTAATTAGTAATTTAATTACGATAGAAATATTCATTCCCATCCAGACTATCTAAATACTCTCATATGCAAAAAATTGTGTTTTATTTATTTATTTATATTTAAATATTGTTTCCTATTCCAGTTGTTTTAAAAGATTTTTTTCCACCTTAGCTTGAAACATATTTTTCAATAAAACTGCTTATCTAAGATGCCAATGATATCTATACTCAGGCATGAGGCGTTGTCTCCACTTCCTGCCTTTTGCGGGAACCACTATGATCCAGAAGGAGAAGTATTTTTAGGTGTTGTTTTGATAACTTGGTTTTTTGATGGTGTCAAGCGTTGTGAAAGATTTAGACCTGAAATTGATTGCATCTTAACTCCTGCTTTAGCAACAAAGATTGCTACAAGTAAAGAAAATTATACTCAAAGTTTGCAATAATCAAATCAAATATCGATAATTATTTCTGTATCCCCGCATCCCTACTCCTTTACTTTCACTAATTTGAATTTTGTAATGAAATATCAAAAATTGGACACCATCCTTTGCTTTCACGTTTTTGGTATTGAACTCCCTATGAATAATGAAAGACAGACTTTTTCTTCAAAATAATATTAGAACTAATACTTTTGATTATTATCAATCAATTCCTGTTTCTTTAGAATGTTAGTTAACCTATAAGAATATACTATTCTTCAGATTTATTCCTAAATTACAAAGCCTCTTCCTTTGCACTAATGCTCTTGCATTGCTTACAATTCACTACAGAATCTGATCATATGTGACGGTTTTGGCAGGAGTTGGTTCTGCAGTCTTTAAAGTGATACTTTCATAGTACCAGGAGCTGACTGAATTGGATAAGTGACCACTGAGCAGTCCCTGTTAAAACAAATGTAACCATATTACATATCATTTTAAAAAATGTGTGCTTATTTAATATACAAGAAGTTTCACTTAAATCTCAGTCAATAATAATATAATCAATAATAAAAAACAACAACAGCAACAACAAAAAACACACAAACTAGAATATTTATGAAACATAAAATTGTACAATTAATTTCATTCACCTCAGAATATCCTAAATCAAAGCCCAAAATAAGTTACAAAATAGCATTTAAATTTTGAACAATTTTTCTTTTCTAATCAATGGAGCAAGTACAGTGCTCCTATCATAACAAAAGTTTCTCCACACTTCAGTAATATTTACAGCACTAACTCCACACCCAGACCCTATTTGCTGAACTTATGAATATATATAATGCATTATACAATTTTTTTTATTAAATCTCAATTAATGCCATTAGCTACCTTGACACTCAAATAATCTGACTAGAGAAAACTTAAGTTTTTTGTTATCTTACTAAGACATAATAATCAGATCCTAGTTATTTTACAAAAGAAATTGGTTTCAATTCAACAAATTTATTGTGGTCACACAAGCAAAAGTATAAGCACTAATTTTCATTGCAATTCTTACGCCCCATGCATTGTATATAATTCAATTACTCAATTATGCTCCAGAAGTATTTCTGATTCTAATAACATCTGCAGTTAGATTTCATAGTTCACCATCAGAACCGTGTTGAAGTGAAATGCACTTTATTATAATAATATTAGTAACAAATATTGCCCCCCCCCCCCTAATTATTTTCAGTTAAGTATGAATTCACCAACTCAAATAACTCTTACAATTTTTGAGTAGAATAATGTATTTTTGGATAGAATAATACTTCAGTACAAATAGAAAAATCAGCATTTCATAATCAATTTGCTAACACCTGAATATTAAGACAATTAGTAAATTATCTTCACAGAACTAATCTCTAAATATTGTAAAGAAATTCTTGTACCCTTAATAATATAAAATCAATCTTGTTTTAGAGTGTCCTATTTGAAGATAAAAATATCTGTATCTCAAGGTTTGGCATAGTTAAGTACTATCTACTACAGTTTTGGTGAACCTCTATAAAATACTAAACAAATCTTGATTGCTAGATTCATTGTATCTGATGTCTCTAAAATGATCTCAACTATGATTGGTTTTATTATTTCTCAGGCACAGTACATTGCCGCAAATTTAAAAATCTTCTGGCCTTCTTTACTCTATTTTACATTGTTCAGTCTGGATGTCCAAGGGCAGCCTTGGCAGTCCCTTGCTGCAGTGTTGGAGAACTTTCTTCATTTCTGTATCTTCTTTGCCATGTCACTTGCTTTCTTCTGATTTTCCCCCAGACTTACAATGTCCTAGCTAGACAAGTTCTCACTGATTTTTAACTTATGGTTTGTGTTCAGGAAATTTTCAGCCTCATTTGAACTATCATTGATGAGCTTAAATAATTCAGGCAAGGCTCCCTCAAACTCTTTCATTCATTATAAATATAAAAAAAATATCTCACAAGATCCTCTACTTGCAAACCAGAAGTGTTATGTAAATGTCTGGTGCCAAGGCAAAAAATGTTTTTCCAGGAAGTTGTGATTACTATACTCACTCTTAACTAGCCTTCTAGTGCTTATTTGTGATGTATGTGGATAGGGACCAATGACCAACTTCACTATAACAGCACGTTTACTACATCCAGTCAGCTGAACGAGGGTTCAAACAAAGTATATGACAAATACTAAAATTAGCCTTCATTTGGTACTTGTGAGATGAAAATCCAGTATTAAATTTTAGGGTAAATGTAGGAGAAAAATTAAAATTACCGTGCAAACAAACTTTTCCTACAATTTGTTTAAGAACATCTCCAAAAGACACTAAACACTTTTCCCTATTCTTTCCCTTTTTTCTTTCACAAGCTCATTTTGTATTATGATAACACTGTAATAGTAATAGTAATAATAATAATAATAATAATAATAATAATAATAATAATAATAATAATAGTTTCCAATAATATATTTTCATTGAGCAGCGTCGTTTATCTCCTCGCCATCACTACTTACTAATTACTTTTTATGAATGGTCAGCAATCCATTATTACCTGACCGTTCTCTTGATTTCAAAGAACATTTCATCCCACATATTAAACCAATGTGATTATCATTTCACATAATGAAAACAATCAAGAAATTATTATAACACCACAATTTTTGTTAGCCACAAATTTAAAACGAAAGGTGTCTTTTCGTTAGCAAAGATGAAATGTTTATAAAATTAATAATGTGTGACAATTTTATAGCCTTAAGGTATATTACAATAAAAACACTAGTCCATCAAAATTATGAATTCTAAATGCTTCCTTTATTTTTAATTTTATGCAAAGGAAACTTTAGTCCTGCAGCATCAAATATTGGTAACAATTTAGTTTAGTTACCTTAATAAATGTAATATTCAGACCTGGCCTGTACTTGCTGCTCACAGGAATGCAATATGCCCAGTGGTAGCAACCCAAAAGAGGGAAGGAGTAGAGGAAGAGGGGGGTGTCTCAGAGCTTCAGCCTCTCCTCTTCTGAAGCTGATTAAAGATTCCAACGTAGTTTAATTATTTTCTATAGTCTGACATTTTAATAACAGTATAAATGACAATAAATAAAATAAATTTTAAATTCAGCATAATCATCAAGTAAGCTAGACATAAATACCTACAGTCATTCCCTGAAAAATCCAGGGTGTGCCACTGAACACTCACATCAATTTTATCAACATATCCACATTAATGTGTTGCTGTACTGAATCGTGATGATAATGTGTTTGTTCACATAGGCATAGCACAACAATATCACAAGACATATTACAACACTTAATAAACAATATCATTGATCTTCAGCTTCCTAAAAAAAATTGAAACCTACTAAAAACAAACAAACAATCCTCACAGCTCAGAGCTTCCCCCTCCCAGGAACCATTTACCACAGACAATTGATTGATTTATTTTGATAAATTACCTCTAAACCTACACAATATTGAGAATATTGCTATCTTCAAATTGCTAAAAATTTAATCAAAACTTCTTTTTCTGCAGCTGAATTTCAACTTCAAATTACATTATGCCTTATTGCATTGTTAAAGACCATATTCACCCTTCGTTGAATGTAAATAAACAATGAAAGTACATTCATACTTTTTGTCACATTGTGTTATACTAACATAATTTTTCATTCATTATACTCAATTCATTCCACTTCTTCATACTTAGAAGATATATTCAAAATTTGAGTGGGTGAGAAATAATTGTTAATTACAGCCTGAAAGGCAGAGGTGGCACCCACACCCACATTTGGGAATATCTTCTAACAGCCTGTGATTACTCACTCTGACCAGTTCCTTTGGAGCCCTGAAAGCTGAGTGTTCGCAGCACCTGGGGTCCTGAAGCAAGAACAGCAGTTCCCTGAAAAAAAAAGAAAATAAGAATTTTAGAAACATTCCTTTAAACATTTATTTTAGATTTTTTCAAACCATACAATGTTTGTAAGAATAATTTTGTACTTATTTTTAATTATGAATTTTTTGAAAGTATTCAGTTTAAAGGTCTCCCAATTTTTTTACAGTATACATATTAACATTACTAGCAAATTTATACATGCTTTTAACATTGAATTGCTTTATTCCAAAAAATTCTATTTTCTCAATTGAAAGCAAAATCTTTCATGAAACAGAGGTTTGTTCAGTTGAATGTACACAAACCAACTCCATAATCATACATCCACTTCAAAGTTCAGTTCATACAATCATAATTTAATCCAAAACTTTTCCCCACTTCTTTCTCAAAAATAACAACTAGTGGCCACACTTTAGGAGCTTGTGCTTCTTTTTAAGGTGAAGTAACATTTCTATGTAGACATTAAAACAAGACCAGCAGTTACTGTTAATGAATTTAAAAGGTGGGCAATAATTCAAAGAATCGCTTCTTTAATGTTCACAGCGATAATTATTTGCTCTGGAATATGCACTTTTATTTACAATATAGCAGGAGTGCTGCATTCTGGTCAATTGGCATCACTCAAAGCCAAGAGAAACTCTTTCATTTTCAGGTTCACAAATTTCTTTCTTAAGAAATGGCCAGAAATAGAATCTGTGTAGCTGTAATAAATACATTAAGTTTTAGCCCATCCTCAAATCAAATTTTTCCAAATCCTGACGATTTTCAACACACGATTTATACATCTGCAAATTTGTGAGGTATAAAACATGTTGAACTTCAGTTTTCACTGTTTTTATTGTGTGAGAGAGTTGGAATTTATTTTGACTACACTCCCACTCATATGTATAATATAAAAAGAACTTTAATTTTATTGAGAAGCAAAATACAAAAATAATTTTGGCTTCAATCCTACTCTCTTTGTTTTCAAACTTCATTTTCTAACTCTCTACATTGATAGAAAAATGTCACACACACACATGAAAAAAGAAGAGTTGATATGACAAAAGACACTAATTCGAGTTAGATATTCTCAGTTTGTAATTTTTTTTTATTATTGCAAAATATATCTTAAAGACTACCTAGTATTGAAAAGAAAAGAAAGAAAGAAGAAGGAAAGGAAAGGAAAGAGAATGGAAAGAAAGTTAAAAAAAGTTGAAGTCGCTAAGGATTGGAAGAGTTATTCTAATTAGAAACTTAATTACATTTCCATTTCAATATGCCTACAAACTTTTTCAGCTACAGAACTTGTGAGAATTGCAAAAACATTTTAATTGAGATCAACAAATTTTATTACCTACAATTTTTCATACTACAACAAAAACAAAGTACAAAAAAGGTAGGGTCTATTAGGATCTATGCAGTATTAATTATATTTCATAATATTTTGTATCATAATTATTGCAAGTAATTAAAGTAATTGTGGAGGGGGGAAAAAAACCCTCAAACTATATTTAAACTGAAATTGACTAAGTAAAAAACAAAACCAAAGAAATGACATGGTGTGCACATGTGCAAAAGGAAATTCCAAGGCAGAAGTTTATTCAACTGATACATGGATTCCCGAGATATATTTCGTGGTGACAAAGCACACAGCGATAAGGATCCAAAAGACGACAATGCTACGTGCAGCGGAGAATCCACGCTGAGAGAATGGGCCTTCAAAAATAAACAGCTAAATTTACTCTTCTCCGACCAAAACATCGCTCCATAACTTTCATTTCACGTTCCGGGGAGCGGCGGCTGTTGAAAGGAACACCCAGGCCGCACTTAAAGCCGATATAGCCTTGCGCAGACCGCGCACGGTAATCGAATACCAGGCGGCGGCCACTTTGCCCACGCAATGATAACGATCGTGCTAAAACGTTTCATTCCCGAGGCAGCACTCCCTCCCCACGCCCTCAATCCCAACGTGCACTCTCGAGCACGCACGCACGCATACACACACGCCCGCGTGGGGACGGCACTGACCCGAGGCGCGCGCCTCCTCCGGCCGGCCACGCGTGCGCGGGGGGCGTGGCGCTGCCAAACGGGTCTCGCTTTGGCCCGCGTGTGTGGACACGGGAGGCAGAGGGTGGCAAGAAGGGGGGCGGGGCGGGGCCGGGGCGGGGCGGGGACGCAGCAAACTTGGGCCGTGGCAACGCGCCGGCGCTTCCGCGGTCCTCCGGCGAGCGGCGACGCACGCGACGCAGACCCTGCGGCGCGGCCAACGCAGAGCGGCGTCGCGGAACGTCCTGCCGGCGCGGGCGCTCGCCGGCCGCAACTGCCCAAGCGCGGCGCGTGGCGCCTAGCCGCCGCCGCCTCTGACCGACGCGCCCGAGCGCCGGCGGCTTGCCCGGGCGCGGCGGCGGGAAGGGAGGGCGGCGGTGGACGCCCGACGCGCAGCCCACGCGCGCGGCGGCGCGCCGGGTGCTTGCCGAGGCCCCCCGGGCGCTGCGCCGCGCCGCGGAGGAAGAGGCGGCGTTGTGGCCCGGAAAGGTGCTCGCGCACGCTCGAGATACGTGGCAGTTTCACCCGCTCGGACAGACTATCGCCTGTACTCTCCGATTAAAACAGAGAGCGAATTGACTTTTAATCAGCTGGCATGAGATTACCCGATTGAATGCTTCAATTTCAAAAATTGAAGCGTAACGTTGCTCCCGATTGGATAACCGCGTTTTAGCTCATCAAAAGTCAATTCCTTCTCCGTTTTATTTGGAATAAAATCACAATCAGGGGAGGGAGGGGGTAAAACTGTCAGGAACGAAATCCATCGGCTCCCGTTTTTCCGCTCCTTTAATATGGAACATTGGGCACCTTAAATAGTATTTTTGTGTTGTGGTAAAACTAGCTTTACTTTTCCTACCTGGTAAAACACTAGTGGCCAAATCCAGTTGGTGAAATAGCCATGAACTAAACCCGCCTGCTCGCGATATTCTTTATAATATACGTTCGTGGTTGCGTGCTTCTGGTTTGTGAGCAACATCCGAGCACGATTTGTACGGATCTGGTAATGACATCCAGGCAAAAGAGTAGTCAGGCGGCCTCGGAGCTGAGGGCATCGCAATTAACCCAGACGGGCAAACCTGGGCACCTGCAGGGGCCTTCGGGACGCGGTCAAATATGAAACTCACGAACCTAGATTAACAATCTCGCTAATCTCGAGGGTGAATGCACAACCTTGCCTCTCTCGTCCCCAGGAGAGTATGTCCGTCTGTGAGCTGCCGTACGCCTTCCGCAAGTCTTTTGTAGGGTCGAAGGTGAACTTTTCAATAATTTCGTGGGGTTGCATCACTTTTGGCAACGAAAATACTTACAATTCTTTAGCAAGGAATGCAAATAAAATGAAACCACAATTTTACGTTTTGCGATTATTACTACGATACTTACAAATCGCTTTCAAATGATGAACTAGTAACATGACTGATTTAGCCGAACAGCAAATTATTTCCAAGGCGCGCCTTAAGTTATCTCAAAATAAAAAAAAAAAATCGTGAATACTGATGAAAAACGTTGACACAAAATTGTATAGTTAACAAACTGTTACACCACACTCACAACAAAAGGTTCAATTCCCATCTTTACCCATGGCACCGAAGTACTGCAATACTGCAATTTCTACCCATATTAACAAATCTCAGCAACTACTTTTAAAACACATTACCACTCGAAGTGCGTGAGATGCAATAACTAATTCTTTTAAAACTAATACAATACAAATTCAACAACTCAAAACATTCCCCATAAAAGAGAAACATTGTCACTTTCACCAATAAGTCAAAATTAAAACTGCCGTGTCGCGGCGATGCCAGTCTTGTATCGCGAGCGCGTCACAGTTCCAAAGAAAACTACTAATAGACCTATTTTCAAAAAGGCTACATCTCTTACTATCTCGTTTATCTGTGACGGATAGGGAATCTTCCTTATATAACACAGCAAATTATATCCAACTAACTCTTCGGTCGTCTCGTTAAAGACTAGAAATACTTTTAAAAGGGTGAAGAAAATTCGAATTTGCAATTTTCGAAAGATCACCGGTTGAGATCAATGGCGGATATTAGTAAGCGCGCTTTGGTCAACTTTAAGCACTCTAAAAAACATTTCCTTGTATTGTCGACAATCTAACTGCATTTTCACACAATTTTAAGAAAATTTCGCCAGAATTATGAAAACACCCCATACATAGAAAAATCTCTAAATCATTACGGTAAAATCTGTATGAGAAAGAAATTTGATTAGAAACAAAATAAACAGGATACTGGAGTCAATTTCACATCACGCTTCATCAATAAGAAAAGCAGGAAGTATTCGTTTTTCTTTGTCAGCACAAGCAGAATTTAGACGCCCGCGCACTCTCACCGACTTAGATGTTACCGAAGACGCCATCTTATTG